ACTGATCTGACTTATATTTAACCTGCACTGATTGGGTTCACACTAGCTGCAATGAAATGCAGATGGGAATCTCACTGCAATGTAGACAAACTTCCTCAGCTACCAACTTCAGCACGGATTGGATTTTGTTCCTTTGCCCTTTTTTCTCCTTGACATTCTGCAAAAGCAGCATTTTTGCAGTATTTGGTTAGAAAATGCTGGAAGGGCAGTAAATCTCACTCCCGTTTTGAAGCATTATAATTCTTGGGTGAAATACATGTTTGAAAAGTATGTATGTTACTGTTGTTGAAACGAAGATCTTGTGGGGCCTCCATCCAAGCCAGTGCTAGAATCGATAGTTAAATGCATTTAACTGAAAAATAGCTTTGCTTCCAACTCAATGTTCTCCCCTTCTCATCCTTTTTATTTATCGAAGCATTTAAGAAATTTTTAGGGGTTTTAGTATGTGGGCTGAGTAAGACTGTTCACATTTGAGCATGTCCTTAAGTGCTTTGATAAAGCAGGGCTGTTGAATGAGCTGCCACTGTAACTCTTGTTAGCTTCTGGCTATCCAAACAGTTCCTTTAAAGTTTGAATTTGTTTTATATGTAATGTGTTGGCCAACACACTTCTGTGTTCACCATTGTTCTTCATCCAAATTAATAGAGTCAAGTTCAGAGAGAGTCTGTGAAGCTAAATGAGGTGTGCATCTCGGTGATGACAGCTTAAGATAATAAAGCAGCTTTTAGGTACCCATGGAGGGGCCAAATTAATTATTGGGGTGCTTTAAAAAGATTTTTAACTGAGTGATATGCTATGAAAGGTCTTATTATCTGGCTGACTGCACTGACTTCTGAGGGCGTTCGTAGGCATGTTGTAGGAAACACTGATGAAATAATAACAAGAAGTAAGTCTTGCTGCTTAGCTGTTGAGACAAATGCATTTGAATAGGAAACAAATACAAGGTTAATAATTAAGGAGTCCTCATAATTTTTTGAAAAAGTATTTTAAAGAGATATTTCAATTATATTTAAGAATAAAAGTAGAATTGACTGGAAGTTAAACATCATTGTACTCAATTTAGTTTGTTTTCTAGAAAAAATAAACTGCTGTTACAAACAGACAGAATATAAGGATATTTGATTTGCATTGCTTTAATCCTACATGAAGTTCATACACTGGACTCAAAAAGCTCTGCTGGCTTTAAATAAAGAGGTTTTTAAGATGTATTAGCTTTATGTTTGCAAAGGAAGAAGATGGAAATATGTTTGTTATCTGCAAAACCTTGATGTTTATTTAGAAGGGAAATAAAACTGGGTTTATGGTAACAGGATGAAAAGTGTAATTAAAGAATGTATACAAACAGGCTGAAAAAACCTCAAACCGAGCAGCAACAGTACACTCCTGAGCACTTTGCCACAAGCATGTTTATGAGTGTCTGGACTTGTTGAGGACTAATAAAAGACCATAAACAACACTATGTAGGTTGTATTACTATAAAATTCTGGAAAAATTAGGAAAGCTACAGTTGCCTTTCAGGATGAAGGGACAAGCCAATGCTCTGCTTTCCAGTTCCAGGTTTCCCCAGCCTGGCAGGGAGTTTGCTCGAGGGACCCGTGCTGAGCCTCGCTGGGCTGGCGGCTCTGCGGTGGCTGTGCAGCATCCGCATGGTGGCAGCCGTCGGTTGCGGTGCCGGCAGCGTGGGGCTGTGGGCAGGAGGTGGGCAGGGGGTGAGGCACTGATGCGAGGCTGGTACCTAAGCTGTGAATCTTCCATCACGGGCTTACGATCTGATTTGGAAAGGTATACCCAGTGAGATCGTAAGCTCAGTGAGGGGGAGCTTTCTTACCTTGCTTAGAAACATGCTCCCAAGCAAAATTTACAACCCTCAGTCCCTTTTTTTGTTTATTTGCTTCGAGAAAAACAGATTAACAGAGAACGATATTCAGTAAAACACATTCAAGGCTTTGCAATTGCTAGTTGCTCAGTTTTGCTTTAATATTTGGGGGACTTTCAGTATGCTTGCAATGTGAATGTAGGTGTACCTCAATATGCTAAATGTTTTCTTTATACAGTCAGTTCTCTTAAGTACAAAGTATTTACACGGTTTTCACAAGTATATTAAGTTCTGTTAGAACTGGGCTAAGGAATACATTTTCCGTTTATTATGCCCCCAGACATAGCAGTCGTCAGAGCTTAACTTTTCTTCTCTCTGCTTGCTGTGGCAGTAAATAGTAAAGGCTTTCTTTTAAAGATGGGTCTGTAAACTGCAGCGTTAGCATTACAATGATTTATGTAGAAAATTGCTTTAGCGCTGTCAGAGGCCTTCAGAGAATAATGTGGCAGTCTTTCGTATTTTTAAAAAAGAACAGAAAAATCCAAGAAACAGACTGCAGCAAGATGTCTGTCTGAAACCTGGTTATCAGAAAGCCGGTTCTCTCTGCCAGGTGGTTCCCAGGTCTGATGGAAACACGAGTAGGCCTCTCAGAGGCCCTGAGGTTTGGGGGCAAATGGTATTGTTTTTTGTCATCTACTCAGACTTGAAATTCTTCTGGGTTACTTTACCGTTTCTCTGACATCGGAAGGGTTTTGGATAGCCAAGGCTAATTATATTTTTCTAAGGGAGTAGTGATTTACACAGAGGGAAAGAAACAACTTGGATTTTGGCTGCTGAAACCTTCAACTCATTTGTTGAATCTTGAGACTGTGTTCAAAATTTGATCTTACCTTTGTTGTCTGTTGTTCTTTTTTTTTTTTTTTCATTGCTTGCTTATTATTCTATTGCCTCTAAGTAATGAACAAGATATGAAGAAGTTTCTCAGCATTCAAACAGTACCATTAAGGTGGTTTCAAGATTGTATTTTTGTTTGTGTTGACCCTTTCAATAATGTGACCTGAAATCCTTTCCTCAAAGGTGAGCTTAAGAGAAAAAACATCCATTAGGAGTATGCTTTCCATGTATTCATTGAACCATTCTGGGTTTTTTTTGTTCCCCTTTTTACTTTGGACTACAATTGCTTATCCATATAAATTCGCAGATCCAGACTTTAACAAGGTACCTTTTAGTTCTGTGTCCACCATAACAAGCTCCTTTTTTCCTTTTTTTTTTTTTTTTAATGCCCTGGTCTGGCTAGGATTAGATGAGCCATTTTATTAAGTTTGTGACCAGCAATGCTTCTATCTTGGTGGTAAAGATAAATGAAAGAATTTAAGTGGGTTTATGCTTCACAAGATTATGTTTCAGAGTACAGTAGATGCTGCTCCTTGAGAAGATGAGAAATGAGGAGGGCTGAATTTTTCTTATAGTCTGTTAAATCGATCATTTTTTGAGTGGACTTTTACTTACAAGTGGCAGCTGAAAACTGCATGGATCTGTCTTGTTTGGACTATTCCCACAACTGGAAGGAAGAGAGAAATGTTTGGATAAAGATACTTGAACAGCAGCGTGACTGAGTAAACTTGAAGTATAATACCCTGAACCTACCTTGAAGTTTGTGTTTCTCCTGCAGTTCTCTTACTTCATCTGAGGTTTTGGCCCATGGACCAGAGGTTGTCTGGGGCTGAAATGGGATTTTGTTTAATTAGAAGTGAGTCAAGTACAGAGCCTTTCCCTTACTTTCTCTTTTTTTTCTCTGGAGTGCAGAAACTGATAGATTTCCTAGTACGTAATTGTGGTCT